GCTCTTCCTCGCTGCGCTCGCGTGAAACGGTCAAGATATACGGATAAAAGTCTGTGTTCTCTGTATGTCTTGGAGTGTGTCTCACAAGCATCTTCATCGGCATTGACTCACTCAGGCACATGCATTTACGAACCCAACCATAATTGGCTCACTGCATCTTCCTCTCTTCCAAGAAAGTTACAATGACGAAACTCGTGTGGCCATTACAAGGATCTCCCAAGCCCTGCCCCACCAAACTTAGCCCGCCAACCCAGTAAAAATGGTGTCTCGACCTCCCAAAAAAGCTCAGCCCGGGTGTGGAATTTTTTCGTAAAAAAAACCTGCAGTTTCTCGGCCCAGAAGCCGGGGACACGCTCTACTTCCCCGGGCGTCGCAGCCATGTACAATGACCTGGTATTGGGCAGGATTTGACGAGTCGTACTACGTAGCTCCCACTAAACTGTACCTTACAGCTCTGTTTAGGTTGGGCTGGGCCACCTGGGGACAGAGGAATAGTTAGCACCGCCTTATTGAGACCTTAGCACATTGGATCGGGATCCAATGCAAAGAGAGAAATTTTGTTCATCTGCTCGCAGAAAAAAATAAACCCCAACCCCTCCCACTTCTTGTCGACGAGACCCAAAATTCTCTCACCGACAGAGTAGCAAGCATAAACAAAACAAGCATCAGTCACTTTGTTCTTTGGCATTCCATCTGTTTTTGCTGTCCTGTATTTCCATCTCTTCACTGTTTTTTTATCCCCCTCTTCATCGCTTCGCCCTCGCACTGCTCACGCGACCGCAAAACTTGGCTACAAGTTCAATGTCGAATAAACGTGTCTAATCTCTCAAACAATCGACGGTTCTTCTCGATACCGTCACTGACCTTTCTTGGTTCCTTTACTGGGCTTCTATGCGGCCGACGGATCTTCTGCGCTTCCTCTTCTCTCGACCTTCCAAGTGAGTTGACACCATCAGTATCAGAGCATCACAGCATCAGAGACTGACCTCTTCAGGCCCCGATAGCACCCCTTCAACGAACATCCACCGATTCACATCTCCCAAGTATCCCCTTCTGCCACAATTCCGTCAAAAGAGCTCTACCACTTCATCCGCTCGCGACCCCCCTAACGTCCCCGAGACGTTGTCCCCCAACCGATCGATTGCTGCTGGCTCCGCCAGCATCTGAACAAGTCCCCGTACCTGTGGGCCTACTCTCTCAAACAGACGCCGCATAGTCTGTTTGAGCGGCAGCTAGTGCTCCGCGGACTCTGCCACCGGGCAAAGAACACTGTGAACCAACCGCCGCCGCCATCATGACCTCCGTCCCGTACAACTGCACCTTTTCGCCCGCCTCGGCTACTCCTCATCTCACCATCAACCACGATGTAGCCGCCGACCTCGACTCGACCAACGCTTTTGAAGGTCCCGAGAAGCTTCTCGAGGTTTGGTTCGCTCCTAGTCCGACGACTCTGCCTCCTACTGCTCCTGTCAATGGCCTCAAGGCTGTTCCGGCTGATACCTGGGTTCCCATGCTTGATATGGTCAACTGCAAGGTCCTGTCTGTTCTTGAGAGTGACATGATGGATGCGTATCTTCTCTCCGAGTCGAGCATGTTTGTCTTTCCTCACAAGATCATTCTCAAGACTTGCGGAACCACTACCCTTCTTCTCGGCCTCCAGCGAATGCTTCACATTGCTGCCAAACACGGATTCCCATTCCACAATGCCAATTCGGCCGACGACATCCAAGCAGCCGCGACTCCATACCGGGTATTCTACAGTCGCAAAAACTTTCTCTTCCCCGAGAAGCAGCAGGGCCCCCACCGCAGCTGGAAGCAAGAGGTCAAGTATCTCGACGATATGTTCGACGGAGGTAGTGCCTATATGGTAGGCAAGATGAACGGCGACCACTGGTATCTGTACCTCACCTCACCCAACCAGCAAGCCCTCACGCCCCCTCGCACCCCCGGTGAGGTCGAAGGCACCAAGATCCCCGTCGGGACGTCCTTCAATGGACTGCCCAGCAGTTACCACGACGAGACGCTCGAGATCCTCATGACGGATCTCGATCCCGAAAACGCCAAGCAGTTCTATCTGTCGCACGCGAGTGCGGTCGCCAGCGACAAGATGGCTGCCGAGGCCAAGGATGCACGCAAGGAGGCCATCAACAGCCTTGGAGGGCTTGCCGAGACTGTTGACGAGGTTGATGTTTTCGCAAACGGCGACGACGACACCATGCTCGACTCAATCGAGGCTCTGACCACTGAGGGTCACGCACTGGGAACCGTCGTCTCGGAGAGTTGCGGCCTCTCCAGCGTCTACCCAACCAGCAAGTATCCCGATGCGCGAGTCGACGCATACCTGTTCAGTCCCTGCGGCTTCTCTGCCAACGGCGTCGTCCCTCCCGAGGCTGGCAAGGGTGAGCATTACTTTACGGTTCACGTCACCCCGGAGCCTCAGTGTTCCTTTGCTTCCTTCGAGACCAACGTCCCTGGCGGTCAGAGCGGACGCACCACGACTGAGATTATTGAGCATGTTGTCGACATCTTCAAGCCTGGTCGATTCAGCGTCACTCTTTTTGAAGCAAAGGGTGCAGCCCAGAACCCATACTGCATGGGTGATGATGACTCCAACAACTGGGCTGCTAAGCGTCTTGTTGATCCTGTCCGAGGATACAGACGCATTGATCGTATTGTTCACGATTTCGAGGACTACGATCTTGTCTTTCGCTTTTACGAACGTGAGGGATGGGCTGGAACTAAGAGCGCCCGTGTCGGAGAGCCTATCAGTCCTACCAAGTAATGTCATTAACTTGACTGTCATTTTGGTTATTGACATTGGACTCTCGTTTTGTCAATTGGAGGATACAATGGATGACCCTGTCATTTCTGGCCTAGCATTATGTACTTTGTCGTTCTTGAGATAGTTCGCTCTTTGAGACCGTTTTGAACATGTATTTTGAATTGATCATTTTGCGACAACTTTTGCGACACCCACTGAGTGATGCCCTGTAATGATGATCAGAACCTAAAATTAGTGCATGCACGCTAAATCAAGCCTGTACCAGCTGTGCACAGGTGACAAAAGTCTGTGTGAAGGGTAAACTCTGTTGACAGTGTAGGCTTGTGTGACAATTTTGTCCCCCAAACTTACATTTTCTGCGAAACCCCCAGTCACTGATAACGATACGCTTTCACGTGACTCTACTACCGTCAAAAAATTCTTTGCTCAATCTTTGTACGGCAAAGCTCCAGCATCACCAAAACCTCACAATCAATCACAAACACCGCCAAAATGCATCTCATGTACACCCTCGACGCTCAAGGCAACCGCCTGTA